TACAGATATATACATAAGGTGTGTGTCAGGGGTGGTTATGCATATAAATATATATATATATATATGGTGTGTAAGGGGTTGGTAATTCTTATAATATATATTAGGTGTGTGTTAGGAGTTGGTAATTCATATAAATATATCAGGTTCGTGTCAGGGGATGGTATTTTATATAAATATATACAATAGATTAGGTGTGTGTGTGTTAGGGGATGGTAATTCATATGAATATATATTAGGTGTGTTTGTCAGGGGATGGTAATACATTTAAATATATCAGGAGTGTGTCAGGGGATGGTAATACATAAATATAAATAAATAAATATACAACATTTGATATAGCGCCCTAACTAGCTAACATAAGCCACCCTAAAGCGCTTTTCAGTTCATATATATACAATTGTATACAGTCAATACGATTAGCATATATATTAATCAATACAATATTGAGAAATTGGCAGGAGCTGCCTTATCAGGCGATAACTATTAGTCCTATGCCATCTAGCTAAGATCTTCCTAAGTGCGTATGTCTGACTGTGCTGGAGATGTATTGATTATTATAAACATACCAGGTTTATGTCAGGGAATGGTAATTCATATAGTGTGTGTTAGGGGGGGGTAATACATATAAATACACATAATGTGTGTGTCACGGGACTGTAATACATATAAGTATATATTATGTGTGAATGTCTGGGGTTGGTAATTCATATAATATATATTAGGTGTGTTTGTCATTGGATGGTAATACATATAAATATACATAATGTGTGTGTCACGGGACTGTAATACATATAAGTATATATTATGTGTGTGGGTCAGGGGATGGTAATCCATATAAATATATATAAGATTCGTATGTCAGGGGATGGGAGTACATACATGTATACATATATGAGGTTTATGTCAGGGAATGGTAATTCATATAGTGTGTGTTAGGGGGTGGTTATACATATGCATATATAGTATGTGTGTGTGTGTCAGGGGGGGGTAATACATATAAATACACATAATGTGTGTGTCACGGGACTGTAATACATATAAGTATATATTATGTGTGTGTGTTAGGGGGGGGTAATACATATAAATACACATAATGTGTGTGTCACGGGACTGTAATACATATAAGTATATATTATGTGTGAATGTCTGGGGTTGGTAATTGATATAAATATATATAATGTGTGTGTCAGGGATTGGTAATACATATAAATATATATTATGTGTGTATGTCTGGGGTTGGTAATTCATATAAATATATATAAGATGCGTATGTCAGGGGATGGTAATACATATAAATATATATAATGTGTGTGTCAGGGGACTGTAATACATATAAGTATATATTATGTGTGTATGTCAGGGGATGGTAATACTTACATGTTTAAATATCTTAGGTGTATGTCTGGGGATGGTAATTCATATAAATATATATAAGGTGTGAGTGTCAGGGGATGGTAATACATACATGTTAAATATATTAGGTGTATGTCAGGGGATGGGAATTCATATAAATATATATAAGGTGTGTGTGTCAGGGGATGGTAATACATACATGTATACATATATTAGGTGTATTTCAGGGGATGATAATTCATATAAATATATATATAAGGTGTGAGTGTCAGGGGATGGTAATACATACATGTTAAATATACTAGGTGTATGTCAGGGGATGGTAATTCATATAAATATATATAAGGTGTGTGTGTCAGGGGATGGTAATACATACATGTATACATATATTAGGTGTATGTCTGGGGATGGTAATTCATATTAATATATATAAGGTGTGTGTGTGTGTGTCATGGGATGGTAATACATACATGTATACATATATTAAGTGTATGTCAGGGGATGGTAATTCATATAAATATATATAAGGTGTGGGTGTCAGGGGATGGTAGTACATTCATGTATACATATATGTGTGTGTTAGGAGTTGGTAATTCATATAAATATATAAGGTGTGTGTGTGTCATGGGATGGAAATACATACATGTATAAATATATTAGGTGTATGGTTGGGGATGGTAATTCATATTAATATCTAGAAGGTGTGTGTGTGTCATGGGATGGAAATACATACATGTATAAATATATTAGGTTATGTCAGGGGATGTTAATTCATATTAATTTATATAAGGTGTGTGTGTCAGGACATACATATAAATATATAGTATGTGTGTATGTGACAGGCGATGGTAATACATATAAATATATATTATGTGTGTATGTCTGGGGTTGGTAATTCATATAAATTTATATAAGGTGTGTGTGTCAGGACATACATATAAATATATATTATGTGTGTATGTCTGGGGTTGGTAATTCATATAAATATATAAGGTGTGTGTGTGTCATGGGATGGAAATACATACATGTATAAATATATATAATGTGTGTGTCAGGGATTGGTAATACATATAAATATATATTATGTGTGTATGTCTGGGGTTGGTAATTCATATAAATATATCAGGTTCGTGTCAGGGGATGGTTATTCATATAAATTTATATAAGGTGTGTGTGTGTCATGGGATGGAAATACATACATGTATACATATATTAGGTTTATGTGAGGGGATGTTAATTCATATTAATTTATATAAGGTGTGTGTGTCAGGACATACATATAAATATATATAAGATGTGAGTGTCAGGGGCTGGTAATACATACATGTCTACATATATTAAGTGTGTGTCAGGGGATAGTAATACATACATGTGTACATATATTAGGTGTATGTCATGGGGTGGTAATTCATATAAATTTATATAAGCAGTGTGTGTCAGGGGATGGTTATTCATATAAATATATACAATAGATTAGGTGTGTGTGTGTTAGGGGGTGGTTATACATATAAATAAATAGTATGTGTGTGTGTGTCATGGGATGGGAATACATACATGTATACATATATGTGTGTGTTAGGAGTTGGTAATTCATATAAATATATCAGGTTCGTGTCAGGGGATGGTTATTCATATAAATATATACAATAGATTAGGTGTGTGTGTGTTAGGGGATGGTAATTCATATAAATATATCAGGTTCGTGTCAGGGGATGGTAGTACATACATGTATACATATATTAAGTGTGTGTCAGGGGATGGTAATACATACATGTATAAATATATTAGGTTATGTCAGGGGATGGTTATTCATATAAATATATAAGGTGTGTGTGTTATATAGCGTTACAGTACATGATTTTTTTTAAATCATGGCATATATAGTTATACTGGGTCTTCCCTGTACAACACATCGTTGATAGACAAGACCTGGTGTATTCGGTATACGGGATCAACTTCAAGGTCCTCTATTTTAATTGAGTTTCTTTTGCTATGAACACAATTTGTACAGCGTTATTTTGAAGCTTCTCAAAAAACATTGGACGATCATTAAAAATGTTGACATTTTGCCGAAAAGTATAACGGAATACCTATATTTCATCAATATTAACTATAAAATGTAGAATGTAAATATATGTATTGAACATAAGATGTTCAATTCTTCTGTGACGTCATCAAATTAGTACCTTATGACATAACAAAATGTGATAAAACACATGGTTCACATAAAACACTAATGTTATGGTGTTAGTGCATTACTTAGCCACTCGGTATAGAATATAAATGAGTACAAGAATCACAAAGTAAGGCAACTTCTATTTAAAAGTTTCGTTTGAATCAGTCAAATAAAGTAAACAATTCACAGCACAATATGACCTTTTCGTCCATTTAGGACTAAGCAATGACAAAAGAGTAAGAATTAAAGGTGTTCGGAAACATACGTAGATATAGAGGGAAATAGAGGAAAGTGTGTAAAAGCCCCATATAACGTTACAGGATTTGGCTTTAGCTGATGTACAAGATAGCCCACTAGCCCTCAACCACAAGGTCACGGGCTCGAGACCTACGTGGGGCAGTCGCGAGGTACTGGACATAGGTCGGTGGTTTTGCTCTGGGAACTCCGGCTTTCCTCCACCACCAAAACCTGGCACGTCTTTAAATTACCATAACTGCTAATAGGACATAACACACAAACAAACAAAATTGTATAGACCGTGGTTTTCCGTAACCTTGATGGCTAAAACTATCTCTTTTGAAAAGTGACAATGTGCATTATATTTACAACTAACTTCATATCAATTTTATAATATCCAGTTCATCTCTAATTTGGAATTTGATATCATTCAGGGATTTTACACGATCTTCCTTCTCTTTGAACTGTTTTTTAGATTAGTTTTGATTTCCAACCTTTTGGCTGCTAGATGGAGGTAACAGCGGTATGGTGTTTAGTAATTAATGTATGGCATACTGTATATGTTTCCACATTTAAATGTAATATAAGTAATATATGTAAATTAAGTAATTTATGTAATATAAGTAATATATGTAATATACGTAATATATGTAATATAAATAATATATGTACTATATGTAACATATGTAATATAAGTAATATATGTAATATAAGTAATATAAGTAATATATGTAATATAAGTAATATATGTAATATATGTAATATAAGTAATATATGTAATATATGTAATATAAGTAATATAAGTAATATATGTAATATAAGTAATATATGTAATATATGTAATATAAGTAATATATGTAATATATGTAATATAAGTAATATAAGTAATATATGTAATATATGTAATATAAGTAATATATGTAATATAAGTAATATATGTAATATATGTAATATAAGTAATATATGTAATATATGTAATATATGTAATATAAGTAATATATGTAATATATGTAATATAAGTAATATATGTAATATATGTAATATATATAATATATGTAATATATGTAATATATGCAATATATGTAATATAAGAAATATATGTTATATAAGTAATATATGCAATATATGTAATCCATGTATAAGTAATATAAGAAATATATGTAATATATGTAATATAAGTAAAAATCCTTTAAATATTGTTTCTTGATAGCCTTTTGTTTTGATTATTTTTCAGGTTCAGCTGATTTCATCGGACTGAATTTCTACACCTCAGACGTCGTAGAGCACTACGAAGACCCGGCCGTGCCACATGATTACTACTCGGATATGGACGTCAGAGTTTCCAAAGACCCTTCCTGGCTTGGGTAAGAAATGTCTTTGTATTTACTGTATTGTGAAGTGTATTTATTAATGCGGGTGCCCTTTCAAGCTCATTTTACTCCGATATTTGAATTTTGAGTTAAATATAATATTCATAAAAAAATAACGCTTAAATTGGAAAGACTTTTAACATGATAATAAAAGGTATACATAATGAGTAAATCATCAAAACATCGGGGTTTCTTCTTTTTTTTTTACAAATGTGAAGCTCACATAGCCCATTTCATCATGCTTATACCAATTTTAGTACAGTTTTGTTTTTATATTTTTTTACATATCATTCTACAGGGGTTAGCCATTTAACAAAAATATCACCCATGGCCACAACCCTCTACTGTATACTGTACCATACCACTTTGTGTATACTTAGGTTGTATATGCCACTTTGCGTATAATTAGGTTGTATATGCCACTTTGTGTATAATTAGGTTGTATATGCCACTTTGTGTATAATTAGGTTGTATATGCCACTTTGTGTATAATTAGGTTATATATGCCACTTTGTGTATAATTAGGTTAGGATTGTCCGAAATTTGTTACAAAGTCATACATGACCTCTCTACATGTTATACAATTAATAGGAATCGCGCGTCTGCAAAAAGGCACAATTGCAGGCCTTCGATTTTGATGTGGCTTCTCTGTAAAGAATAGGTATCAGTCTATCAGCGTTTGGTCAGAATTTTGATGTTTGATACCAATTGTTTGATAACCATCCATGAGCCTTCAATTCTGTCATGACATATATTATAAAGGTGAAGAGAAGATATTTGCATCGTTTGCGGGTCCCTTGGATTTTGGAGATGATGAAGGGATTCTCAATGATTTTGGAGATGATGTAGGGATTCTCAATGATTTTGGAGATGATGGAGGGATTCCTATTGATTTTGTAGATGATGTAGGGATTCCAATTGATTTTGGAGATGATGTAGGGATTCCCAATGAAAATGGAGATGATGTAGGGATTTCCATTGCTTTTGGAGATGATATAGGCATTCCCTTTGATTTTGGAGATGATGTAGGGATTCCTGTTGNGATGTAGGGATTCCCATTGATTTTAGAGATGATGTAGGGATTCCCATTGATTTTGTAGATGATGTAGGGATTCCCATTGATTTTTGAGATGATGTAGGGATTCCTATTGATTTTGGAGATGATGTAGGGATTCCCATTGATTTTGGAGATGATGTAGGGATTCCAAATGATTTTGGAGATGATGTAGGGATTCCTATTGATTTTGGAAATGATGTAGGCATTCCCATTGATTTTGGAGATGATATAGGGATTCCTATCGATTTTGTAGATGAGTAGGGATTCCTATTGATTTTGGAGATGATGTAGGGATTCCCAATGATTTTGGAGATGATATAGGGATTCCCATTGATTTTGGAGATGATGTAGGGATTCCCATTGATTTTGGAGATGATGTAGGCATTCCCATTGATTTTGGAGATGATGTAGGCATTCCCATTGATTTTGGAGATGATGGAGGGATTTCCATTGATTTTTTAGATGATGTAGGCATTCCCTTTGATTTTGGATATGATGTAGTGATTCCTATGGATTTTGGAGATGATGTAGGGATTCCCATTGACTTTGGAGATGATGTAGGGATTCCTTTTGATTTTGGAGATGATGTAGGGATTCCTGATTTTGGAGATGATGTAGGGATTCTCATTGATTTTGTAGATGATGTAGGGATTCCCATTGATTTTGGAGATGATGTATGGATTCTCAATGATTTTGGTGATGATGTAGGCATTCCCATTTATTTTGGAGATGATGTAGGGATTCCCAATGATTTTGGAGATGATGTAGGGATTCTCAATGATTTTGGAGATGATTTAGGGATTTCCAATGATTTCGGAGATGATGGAGGGATTCCCATTGATTTTGGAGATGATGTAGGGATTCCCAATGATTTTGGAGATGATGTAGGGATTCCCATTGATTTTGGAAATGATTTAGGGACTTCCAATGATTCCGGAGATGATGGAGGGATTCCCATTGATTTTGGAGATGATGTAGGGATTCCCATTGATTTTGGAGATGATGTAGGCATTCCCATTGATTTTGGAGATGATGTAGGCATTCCCATTGATTTTGGAGATGATGGAGGGATTTCCATTGATTTTTTAGATGATGTAGGCATTCCCTTTGATTTTGGATATGATGTAGTGATTCCTATGGATTTTGGAGATGATGTAGGGATTCCCATTGACTTTGGAGATGATGTAGGGATTCCTTTTGATTTTGGAGATGATGTAGGGATTCCTGATTTTGGAGATGATGTAGGGATTCTCATTGATTTTGTAGATGATGTAGGGATTCCCATTGATTTTGGAGATGATGTATGGATTCTCAATGATTTTGGTGATGATGTAGGCATTCCCATTTATTTTGGAGATGATGTAGGGATTCCCAATGATTTTGGAGATGATGTAGGGATTCTCAATGATTTTGGAGATGATTTAGGGATTTCCAATGATTTCGGAGATGATGGAGGGATTCCCATTGATTTTGGAGATGATGTAGGGATTCCCAATGATTTTGGAGATGATGTAGGGATTCCCATTGATTTTGGAAATGATTTAGGGACTTCCAATGATTCCGGAGATGATGGAGGGATTCCCATTGATTTTGGAGATGATGTAGGGATTCCCATTGATTTTGGAGATGATGTAGGCATTCCCATTGATTTTGGAGATGATGTAGGCATTCCCATTGATTTTGGAGATGATGGAGGGATTTCCATTGATTTTTTAGATGATGTAGGCATTCCCTTTGATTTTGGATATGATGTAGTGATTCCTATGGATTTTGGAGATGATGTAGGGATTCCCATTGACTTTGGAGATGATGTAGGGATTCCTTTTGATTTTGGAGATGATGTAGGGATTCCTGATTTTGGAGATGATGTAGGGATTCTCATTGATTTTGTAGATGATGTAGGGATTCCCATTGATTTTGGAGATGATGTATGGATTCTCAATGATTTTGGTGATGATGTAGGCATTCCCATTTATTTTGGAGATGATGTAGGGATTCCCAATGATTTTGGAGATGATGTAGGGATTCTCAATGATTTTGGAGATGATTTAGGGATTTCCAATGATTTCGGAGATGATGGAGGGATTCCCATTGATTTTGGAGATGATGTAGGGATTCCCAATGATTTTGGAGATGATGTAGGGATTCCCATTGATTTTGGAAATGATTTAGGGACTTCCAATGATTCCGGAGATGATGGAGGGATTCCCATTGATTTTGGAGATGATGTAGGGATTCCCATTGATTTTGGAGATGATGTAGGCATTCCCATTGATTTTGGAGATGATGTAGGCATTCCCATTGATTTTGGAGATGATGGAGGGATTTCCATTGATTTTTTAGATGATGTAGGCATTCCCTTTGATTTTGGATATGATGTAGTGATTCCTATGGATTTTGGAGATGATGTAGGGATTCCCATTGACTTTGGAGATGATGTAGGGATTCCTTTTGATTTTGGAGATGATGTAGGGATTCCTGATTTTGGAGATGATGTAGGGATTCTCATTGATTTTGTAGATGATGTAGGGATTCCCATTGATTTTGGAGATGATGTATGGATTCTCAATGATTTTGGTGATGATGTAGGCATTCCCATTTATTTTGGAGATGATGTAGGGATTCCCAATGATTTTGGAGATGATGTAGGGATTCTCAATGATTTTGGAGATGATTTAGGGATTTCCAATGATTTCGGAGATGATGGAGGGATTCCCATTGATTTTGGAGATGATGTAGGGATTCCCAATGATTTTGGAGATGATGTAGGGATTCCCATTGATTTTGGAAATGATTTAGGGACTTCCAATGATTCCGGAGATGATGGAGGGATTCCCATTGATTTTGGAGATGATGTAGGGATTCCCATTGATTTTGGAGATGATGTAGGCATTCCCATTGATTTTGGAGATGATGTAGGCATTCCCATTGATTTTGGAGATGATGGAGGGATTTCCATTGATTTTTTAGATGATGTAGGCATTCCCTTTGATTTTGGATATGATGTAGTGATTCCTATGGATTTTGGAGATGATGTAGGGATTCCCATTGACTTTGGAGATGATGTAGGGATTCCTTTTGATTTTGGAGATGATGTAGGGATTCCTGATTTTGGAGATGATGTAGGGATTCTCATTGATTTTGTAGATGATGTAGGGATTCCCATTGATTTTGGAGATGATGTATGGATTCTCAATGATTTTGGTGATGATGTAGGCATTCCCATTTATTTTGGAGATGATGTAGGGATTCCCAATGATTTTGGAGATGATGTAGGGATTCTCAATGATTTTGGAGATGATTTAGGGATTTCCAATGATTTCGGAGATGATGGAGGGATTCCCATTGATTTTGGAGATGATGTAGGGATTCCCAATGATTTTGGAGATGATGTAGGGATTCCCATTGATTTTGGAAATGATTTAGGGACTTCCAATGATTCCGGAGATGATGGAGGGATTCCCATTGATTTTGGAGATGATGTAGGGATTCCCATTGATTTTGGAGATGATGTAGGCATTCCCATTGATTTTGGAGATGATGTAGGCATTCCCATTGATTTTGGAGATGATGGAGGGATTTCCATTGATTTTTTAGATGATGTAGGCATTCCCTTTGATTTTGGATATGATGTAGTGATTCCTATGGATTTTGGAGATGATGTAGGGATTCCCATTGACTTTGGAGATGATGTAGGGATTCCTTTTGATTTTGGAGATGATGTAGGGATTCCTGATTTTGGAGATGATGTAGGGATTCTCATTGATTTTGTAGATGATGTAGGGATTCCCATTGATTTTGGAGATGATGTATGGATTCTCAATGATTTTGGTGATGATGTAGGCATTCCCATTTATTTTGGAGATGATGTAGGGATTCCCAATGATTTTGGAGATGATGTAGGGATTCTCAATGATTTTGGAGATGATTTAGGGATTTCCAATGATTTCGGAGATGATGGAGGGATTCCCATTGATTTTGGAGATGATGTAGGGATTCCCAATGATTTTGGAGATGATGTAGGGATTCCCATTGATTTTGGAAATGATTTAGGGACTTCCAATGATTCCGGAGATGATGGAGGGATTCCCATTGATTTTGGAGATGATGTAGGGATTCCCATTGATTTTGGAGATGATGTAGGCATTCCCATTGATTTTGGAGATGATGTAGGCATTCCCATTGATTTTGGAGATGATGGAGGGATTTCCATTGATTTTTTAGATGATGTAGGCATTCCCTTTGATTTTGGATATGATGTAGTGATTCCTATGGATTTTGGAGATGATGTAGGGATTCCCATTGACTTTGGAGATGATGTAGGGATTCCTTTTGATTTTGGAGATGATGTAGGGATTCCTGATTTTGGAGATGATGTAGGGATTCTCATTGATTTTGTAGATGATGTAGGGATTCCCATTGATTTTGGAGATGATGTATGGATTCTCAATGATTTTGGTGATGATGTAGGCATTCCCATTTATTTTGGAGATGATGTAGGGATTCCCAATGATTTTGGAGATGATGTAGGGATTCTCAATGATTTTGGAGATGATTTAGGGATTTCCAATGATTTCGGAGATGATGGAGGGATTCCCATTGATTTTGGAGATGATGTAGGGATTCCCAATGATTTTGGAGATGATGTAGGGATTCCCATTGATTTTGGAAATGATTTAGGGACTTCCAATGATTCCGGAGATGATGGAGGGATTCCCATTGATTTTGGAGATGATGTAGGGATTCCCATTGATTTTGGAGATGATGTAGGCATTCCCATTGATTTTGGAGATGATGTAGGCATTCCCATTGATTTTGGAGATGATGGAGGGATTTCCATTGATTTTTTAGATGATGTAGGCATTCCCTTTGATTTTGGATATGATGTAGTGATTCCTATGGATTTTGGAGATGATGTAGGGATTCCCATTGACTTTGGAGATGATGTAGGGATTCCTTTTGATTTTGGAGATGATGTAGGGATTCCTGATTTTGGAGATGATGTAGGGATTCTCATTGATTTTGTAGATGATGTAGGGATTCCCATTGATTTTGGAGATGATGTATGGATTCTCAATGATTTTGGTGATGATGTAGGCATTCCCATTTATTTTGGAGATGATGTAGGGATTCCCAATGATTTTGGAGATGATGTAGGGATTCTCAATGATTTTGGAGATGATTTAGGGATTTCCAATGATTTCGGAGATGATGGAGGGATTCCCATTGATTTTGGAGATGATGTAGGGATTCCCAATGATTTTGGAGATGATGTAGGGATTCCCATTGATTTTGGAAATGATTTAGGGACTTCCAATGATTTCGGAGATGATGGAGGGATTCCCATTGATTTTGGAGATGATGTAGGCATTCCCATTGATTTTGGAGATGATGTAGGCATTCCCATTGATTTTGGAGATGATGGAGGGATTTCCATTGATTTTTTAGATGATGTAGGCATTCCCTTTGATTTTGGATATGATGTAGTGATTCCTATGGATTTTGGAGATGATGTAGGGATTCCCATTGATTTTGGAGATGATGTAGGGATTCTTAATATTTGTTGGAGATAAGAATCTAAAAGTTTAAACATTTCCAAAACAATGGAATTAAAAAGACATTTTTGTAGTTGTGTCCATCATTTTCGTTTGTTATTACCATCTGTTGTGTCAGGTCGGGATCTGATTGGCTGAAGGTGACCCCTACTGGAATACGACGGATGCTGAACTGGATGAAGGATCAGTATAAGAATGTTCCTATATTTATCACGGAGAACGGAGTATCTGACAGGAATGGATCACTGCTAGACGACCACAGAATCTCCTACCACAAAAATTACATCAATCAAGTCCTCAAAGGTTACATAGTGTTTAACGTATCTAAAACAATAATAACATCATTGATTTTTATAATTGTAGGTGTTTTACAATCGCTCAATAAGGTCGAAAAACGAATTTTTGGTTCATTGTTCTCGTTAATATGAATGAATATAAAACAATACAAAACAATACATAAAATACATTGATTACACACTCATAAATTCACATATGCATTGCAAAAAGCGATAATCCTTTATCGAACTGCATTAATGGATGTTCTTGTATTCTAATATAAACATGTTTAATTGTTATAAATTGTTTAATAAATGTTACGTTTGCTATGAACACACTCTGAGCTTGACAAAGGAAACACACGTTTCAGACAGCTCCCAATTATTGTTTGTGCTCAAAACAAGCAAGCTTTCTCCTTCCAAATACTGTTGGGTACAGTTTATTACTAGAGTAATATCTACACATTTTATTTCTATAATTCAATAAAAAATAGACCACACACTAAGTATTAATGACAAACACTCATCCTAATACAGTAGTCCCCAATACTGATCAGTTATAAAATCTCATTGTTTGTTCAATAAAAATGACAAGCGTCATCTAGACGTTTTCATCGTATTTCAGCTATTCACCTAGACCACGTGGACGTACGTGGGTATACTGCGTGGTCCCTGATGGATAATTTTGAGTGGTCTATGGGATCCTCGGAGAGATTTGGTCTCCACTACGTCGACTTCACTGACCCAGCGCGACCTAGGACGCCTAAGGTCTCGGCACGATACTACCGACAGCTCATCGAGGAAAACGGTTTCCTAGAACATGAACCTAGACCAATTCCGCTAGCCGAGGAAAATGAATTCTTTTATGGAAGTTTCCCGGATCATTTTGCGTGGAGCGCTGCGACGGCAGCGTACCAAGTGGAGGGAGCGTGGAATGAAGACGGTTAGAGATGTTAACCTTTAGGTCTAATCCAGTATTAGCCAGAGCGGATTATGTTTTTTCTTGTGTATTGTCATCAGGAGACTAGAAATAGATTATTGAAATTGCTTTACAATGCTTGATTAACTTATCAGTAATTCCTATCTCAACAGATTCATGTCAGAATTGCTTAACACACCTCAGATTCTTGTTCAAATCTGTCCTGCGCTCTACTTCTGATCGCAAGAAAGCTTCAGAGATGTACGTTGCACAAAGGTCAAGGTTATGTTATGGGGTCAAATGCCTTAAGAGTAATCTTGAATAGCCTCATGATCTCGGCACGAACTTCATAGATATGTTTGTGTTGACTTGGAATGTGTGACCGTTTTAGTAACGGGCTAAAAGTCAAACTTTTGTAATGTTTAAAGTGATATTGATATATTGTTCGGTTTGATAAAGTGTCCTTATTACCTTCCCGCATGATGCACACAGCTTTGAAAAAGATTTCCACACATTTATAAGCCCTTACCCAGTTTGTCTCGATATCATTTAACTAGTATTTTTTTTATTTTTTTTATCATAATTATAATTTACATGATAAAATACTACAACATATGCCAAGTTAGTTTTGAAAAAATGGTATTCTGTATATCTAAGATAAAATAAAATAAAAAGAGAAACATTCTGAGAGTTGAACCAAATACTTTGAGATAATCAGGGAACTTGATTTGTTCGAATTCAAATACAATACGTGGATGTCATTAAAATGCTGCACTGCTTTATTCTATATTCCGGCTAAAACAATGTTTCCTCTATGCTTTAATAGATCTACATTTCCATTACAATCTATTTTGCAACAGTATATTCATCGTCATTACAGGTAAAGGGCTGAGTATCTGGGACACGTTTTCTCACCAAGGTCACGTGGACAATAATGACACGGGCGATGTGGCGTGTGACAGTTATCACAAATACATGGACGACGTCAAACTTCTCAGGGATATGAAGGTACTTTTAAGAGTGAAAAAAATGATTTATATCAATATGGAATAAGACAAATCTAAATTTTCCCTGTTCTGAATTTTAACTAGATCACTGACAGGTATGTAAGGGCCCCGTCTTGTGGCAATATATCCCCCATTATCATCAAGAAGCGATCTGCTCATATAGCTGAGCTTGACGTTTGACATTTTGACTTCAAAAAGAATCGCAAGGAAGCAAAATATGCATTTTACATGTACTATGATGTGAGTCTTGTTTCCTTCCACCTCCATATTTGCTGGACTAACAGAAATGTAAATACCGGTGCAATACTCATTTGTTAGCTTTGATTTGTTTTATTTCACCTTAAATACCTCCCCATCAAGAGCCATAGTCAAAGTCAGAGATCCACTTTGTATATGACCTTTGGATCCAAATGACCTTGACCTTTAATCCAGTGACCCTAATCTTTGGTCAATTGACTTATTCTTTGATTCCGACCAACTTTGCTTCATTATATCATAACAAAATGTCCATCAGTGAAAAATACAAAACTTGTCATTAACCTTGAACCGTTGGACCCCGTAACCTGGACCTTTGATCAGTTGACTCTGTGTTAAGTTCTGAACAACTTTGCTTAATAATAACATAAAAAAATGGTTCATCAGTAAAAAGATACAATATTTGACATTGACCTTTACCCAGTGACCTTGACCATTAGTCAGTTGACTCCTTGTTAAATTCCAACCAATTTTGCTTCATAATGTCATAACAAAATGTTCATCAGTGAAAAGAAACAAAATTTTACCATGACCTTTGACCCAGTGACCTTGACCTTAAGTCAGTGGACTCTTTGTTAAATCCGACCAACTTTGCTTCAAAGTGTCATAACGAAACGTTCACCAGAGAAAAGATACCACATTTGACCTTCACCTTTGACCAAGTGACCTTGGCCTTTGATCAACTGACACCTTGTTTAATTCCGACTAACATTGCTTCAAAGTATCATAACGAAATTTTCACCAGTGAAAATATACTGAATTTGACCTTGACCTTTAATCCATTGACCTTGACTTTAAGTCAGTTGACTCTTTGTTAAATTCCGACCAACTTTGCTTCATAATGTCATAACAAAATGTTCATCAGGGAAAAGATTCAAAATTTTACCATCACCTTTGGACAGATAACAACGAATAATTAGATTGTTTGCATCATTTATTTCAGTGCTATACTCTATATCGCTTATGAGTACTAGTTTAACGTGAATGTTTTGCCTCATGAAATATTTGCGAGCTAAATCCATATTAGCTAAGTTTTAATTTTGTCTTTCAAAAATAATCTGTATAATATTAGCAGCCATTATAAAACTGACCTTATTGTAAAGGACAAAATTAAACATTTCCTGTTATAAATTACAATAAAAATATAATATTTTCCCCACAAATTGAGGTATTTCATGCTCTTTCATGGTGAAAAATGGTATTCCAAGGATCTTAGACCAATGTTTTAAAACTGTTCAAAATTACCCGGAGGATGAATAATTTGAATAATTGAGTTAAATATTACCCTGTTGAATAATCGTAAACACTTAATTTTCAGGTGACACACTATCGTTTCTCCCTGTCATGGCCCCGGATATTACCTGACGGTACGACACGTAGTGTGAATCAGCTAGGTGTGGATTACTATAACCAGTTGATAGACGCCCTGTTGGACGCTGGGATCACACCCATGGTCACACTATACCACTGGGACCTACCTCAGGCTCTACAGGACAGAGGCGGCGGCTGGCTCAACGCCTCAATAGCTGACGTCTTTGCCGACTACGCCAGACTTGCCTTCCAGACATTTGGGGACAGGGTAAAACAAGATATTGTACTTTGTATAGACGAACTTTAGAACATCACATATTTGAATTATTTTGATATTTCAATTGCCGTTAAAAGATTGGTTTGTTAGATCACCTCTATGTTCACATTATTATGCAATTATGTTTCCTATTATACCGATACTATAAACGTCGCCTGCTATTAGATGGAGAAGCAGGACAAATGATTCACAGTCCATGCAAAGTTGTTTGGTTGTAGGTAAAGACGTGGATCACACTGAACGAGCCATGGGTGGTATCTGTCCAGGGGTACGGACAGGGCATCAAAGCCCCAGGGATCGTCAGCCCCGGGGACAAAGTCTACATTGCCGCCCACAATCTCATCAGGGCCCACGGCAAGGTCTACAGGCTCTATGAAAAAGAGTTCAAAAACACCCAACAGGGTATGTATATTGTTTATTCCACATTTATGCTTCATATGCGGACAGGGAAAGATAGGAAAAAACATTAATAGTCTTTGAAAATATACGAAAATTTTACATGAAATTATGGTACACAAATAGAAAATTTAGAAGAATGAAAATGTCGTTTGTTACAACACACTAGGCTGGGTGAATATCCATTTATGTTCTTATTCGATCTTCTCAACTTGAGATACATTATCCATCGTATATACTCATGCTTCCCATTCAGGGGATTCCTCAACCTTGGTAATAGGGTGTACAAATAAACACAGAAATTGAACAATCCACAATCCTCGTGTCGTTTTTATCTTGCCACTTCAATCCATCATTATCACAACTTTTTTTTTTTTTTTTTAGAGTGAAACCACTTTGTTCTGTGGACCATTTAAACTTGTTTTGTAGCTTAGATTTTTTTTCAGATTTTTCAGACAAATACGCATGACAAATAAACAGATACAAGTCTGTAAATTATGACAGGAAAAGATGGGTAATTGTACAGAACAGAGACAGAGAGAGAGAGAGATGGCACTACTTCCTATCTAAAATTCAATTCATTAGCAAGATTGAAGCAATAAATATTAACAGCTGATTAATTTTGAGGGAAATCAGCAAGCACTGTAACGGCATTGAAGAGAAGAGAGTTGGACTATAAAATTACAACTCAGTAAATTTTCCCCATTTTTTCCAACTTTTTTTAAAAAAAATCCTCGCAGCTTCCCCATTGCTGTTAGCAATAAAGTTTTTCAAGTCATCAAATTGTTTTAATGCATTAATAAGTCCATTGATGTTGAGGAAGTTGTGAAAGCATCGCATTTTGTAAATATACTGTTTAATAACAAGGAGAATTTCATTATCAACTTTGCAGTTATTGAAATTTTGAGATAAAAATCCAAAAATATAGGATTGTTTATTGTAATTAAATGGGATGAAAAGAGCATCTAGTAGAATTCTTAGACTATCTTGTAAATTCTGGACTTCTTGACATTCCCACAGGACATGAATAATAGTTTCATTTTCAGAGTTACATAGAGTACAGAGAGGAGAAATAACTAAATGTGTTTTAAAGAGAAAAGAGTTTGTGGTTAAAAAAAAGTGATTAACTCTGTACTGAAACCATTAGAGTTTGGTGTTTTTTGTAACAGTGAAGGGAATCTTGTATATTTGAGCCCATGTTGAATCATTCAAGTCGAAGACTTTGTTCCACTTCTTTTTACCTTTGGGTACAGTTTTGTTTTTTTATAAAAAAATATTATAGAAATCTTTCGAGCCTTTTCTGTTTTTCAGGAATAATTCAATGTTCATTGGTAAAAGAGGATATGGAAGTTTTATTTTAGGAAATTCATTTGAAGATATAAACTTTCTCATTGCTGACAAAATGCTATGATACTGGAGGAAATTTGTTTTTACCTGATACATGTATGCGTGAATCATTTCCTGGAAACTGTGAAAGCTTCCAGTATTCTGATATGTTATCAAGTCATTTATAGTTATGATATTTTTGTCATAAAAATTCTTAAAAAATACTGATTTCTGACCAACAGCTATATTTCTGTTAAACCATAATGGTGTTTTTGATATAGAATCCTTCACAAGACTATATTTTTCAATTAATAAATTCAAACATCAACCCAGAAAGAATTTTTACACTCTTTTAGATATTTGTGCACAAAATCATTGCCACAGTTGGCTAGTAGATCTATTTCTATTTCAAAATACGTTACCACAGTCATTATATTGCATATTC